CAAGCCCTCAGATCAAGCTACTGAATAATACACACTGCTAGTTCTAAAACCAGTTGATTGTTGCTCTGGTTGAAAGTGAATTTAATTATTTATGAACATTTATATATTCCATCTTAGCTGCTCGGGGTAATCAAACTTTCAACTAAGCAATGGTTTCGACATCCCAATCAACAAATTAAAGAACTCAAAATCAATTCCAGCCGTTTCAACCCATTTCAAACATAATAGCCGGTGTTTATTTTAATTTTTTTCATAAAATAAACTGTACAAAATCCACTGGGCAACTCAAAATATTTACAAATTAAAAACGGATGAGGCGAAGTGAAATGGAAATGAAAATGGAAAATTTCAGCAAATCAATCAATATTCCATGCATCAAAGCTTTGGGTGCAGGTCAATGGCATTTTGCTTGAGTGCATTCGATATTCAATATTATTTTTCCCAGCAAAGGAAAATTGAAAAATATATAATTCCATATTTTTTCATATATCAAAATCATGCAATCATGCGAAAAGATATGAAGAAGGAAAATACAATCGTCCATATTAAACTGCATCACAATTTTTATCGTCTTAAAAATTCCAAGCAATTTCAACATTTTAAATGTAAGAAATGGATAAAATTTAGGAAATATGAAGAAAACGAAAGAAAATATTGTATGCCTTTAATTAAAACTATCTGTGGTGTAACCGACACCTAATTCCAATATATATTTTTGAAACGTGGAAGACACTTTTAACTAAAGAGCAAAAGAGTGGCAAAAATTGTATAAAAAAATGTGCATTCGAACGATGAACTTCTTCCAAGTGGTTAACCTTGCTTGACTTCTTCGTTTCGTTAATTTACTTTGAATACTTTGATTCTGTTTAAATATTTTTTACTGTCCAACATCAAATGTTTATGTCGATGCAGCATTTTTATGTAAGAACCTTGACATTTGCCAAACGTGACTCTTGTTAAATATTTTTACCAAAAAAACCATAAAGTTCACTAGAAGCACTTGTCATGAACGATAATTATTTAATTTCGCAAATAATTTGTCTGCCAGCACATGTATGATTTATATCAGGTAGTAAACTAGTTAGATAATGGGACTGTCGCGTCATATGACCGCCCACTCAACAGTAAGCTGAATTTTAAAATCTTATCAGTGTTTATTGATAATAATTGATAAAAAAAAAAAACAAGAAAAAGACAAATCTTAACAGTTTCGGTTATCAATTTCTGTGTAGAGCTTAGACATTATTCGCAGAACTGCTTCCTCGAGGAAGAGTCCAGAGTTTGATTTAAGATAATGTGTATTGATTAGAGATTGACACTTCAGGTACAAGGTCCAGACTAGATGTCTGCTGACCATTTCTAGATTGCTATGACCACTGATTATCATGGTAATTACCACAGTCTGTTGGCGCGATTTTGCCTCGATGACGTTTTGATTTGATTATCGCCAAAGCTGCTGATGCGGATGCAAATTGTTGGTGTTTTCATAACCTTATCGGCGGCCGAATGCCTATTTTTAAGACCCCTAAGCTGAACCGGATTTCGACATCTGCTACAGGGGTCTGTAATCGATCGATAAGCACTGAAGCTCGGCGGGCCGGACTCCTGTTATCAGTGCGTCTCGGCTTGAGACACGTACGGTCATGGCAACTGGCGTGTTGCAATATAGAAAAATGTGCGACCAGCCAATTGACCTTATTGATTGATGGATTAACTGGTCACAGAGTCGCTGAGATGAATTAAACATGGGTAATGAAAAAAATATAGGGCCTCTTAGTATCCGATTTCGCAACCAAACATATAAAATTGGCTCCAAGGCCATTGAAATAGAAACATTCTTATCAACAAAAACCCTTGATACTTAATTTGTAGTGGACGCTGGCGTGTTTCTACAACTTACTGTTAAACCTGCCCCACATTAAATTAATTTTATTAATATTTTTCCACTTACTTCAATGCGATGCGCATCTGATCCGCTACAGCTATATCGAATGACATCTTGATGCAGTCTCACGCTACTGACCACAATCGATTCCCTTCCCGGTAAGCTATATATTATTCTATGCAGGGATATACAATATGTATGTATACACGACTGCGAACTAAAAAATACACAAATCACAATCCGCAAGCTGTTCAAAATCCCAGTAAAAATAAATGCACGGTACCGGGTGGAGAAGGCAAAAAATCTATAAAATAAAAGTCGTGAATGGTTGAACGGAACTCGTATCAGGGCACCAAAATTTTTGATTTGTAACCATTAGTTTTTATTTTAGTTGGGCTTGGTTTTTGTAAGTTTATTTCTTTAACTTCACACACGCACACACAACCAATGGGTGGGAATGCCACATCACTTGTTGCTATAAGCTGAACTATTCCCGATTTCACAGAAACGGCTTAATTGAAATAAGCGGACACAGCTGCCGACGATTGAAGGAAATACAAATTTCCAGCCTGAATTTAAGGCTGGCGTTGCGCTTTACTCAGGGTCCGCTCGGCAACTGAGCATTTAAAGTAAGCGCCGGCTAAGTTTAGTGCCCGCCAATGTTCGCCGTTCGCCTCGCGCACAAACACTCGCACGCTGTTGATTTTTCCACTCATTTGCTCATTCCGCCTCGACCACCGGGTCGTATGAGTGATATTCTAGCTCTAGGCCGCCTAGATTATGAACTTGTATGTGTTTGTTTGTGTGTCCGCGACTGTGTGCGAATCGCACTCAAAGGCCTTTGGGCAGCGTCTGCTTGAGTGGGTTCGCTTTCTGAACGTGCTGGGCGCCGTGGTTTTGTTTAAACGTTATCGTTTTTGTTGTTGCCGATTTGTTTATTTATTGTTTATAGCAACCGCAAGTGTCCGGCTATCAGGCGTGAAAATTATTGTTTACGTTTTTATTGGAGTTTAGGACTCTATTTTTAATACTTGCGTGTATAATGAAAAATTAAACATTTGTTTAAAAACAAATATAAATGCCAGGAAAACATGTTTCACATACCCCTAAATGGAATATAAGTTTTATTGGAACGGGGTTACCCATTTGGAAATGTAAAAAATTAAAATTGAACAGCCAGATACATTTTTAAATTTTGTTTAAAATAGAAATACATTCTCCCCACTCATACTATATACCACTCAGTGTATACCACTCATAAATCTAAAGTGCCTATATCCAATTTTCATCAGTGGTTCCGGTAATTCTATTAAGTGCCTTGTGGTTAAAACTATACCGACTGCCCTTAGACTTGACCATGATTAATCTATAGTATAGATTATACTATGCAATTAACAAAGTACCTGGCGATATCATCGATAGCTTAAATAATAGAACAAAAGGCATGAAATGAATGGGATACTGGAAAAAAGGCTGGCCATCGGAAAACTCCCACACATTGATCCGAACTAGCCACAATTCTAGCATATATTTATACCCTTGCAGAGGGTATTATAATTTTGGTCAAAAGTGTGCAACGCAGTGAAGGGGACATCTCCGACCCTATAAAGTATATATATTCTTGATCAGGATCACCTCCTGAGTTGATATGAGCATGTCCGTCTGTCCGTCTGTCCGTCTGTCTGTCCGTCTGTCTGTTTCTACGCGAACTAGTCTCTCAGTTTTAAAGCTATCGTCTTGAAACTTTGCACACAGCCTTCTTTCCTTTGCACGCAGTATATAAGTCGGAACGGCCGGGATCGGCCGACTATATCCTATAGCTGCCATATAACTGATTGATCGGAAATGGTATAACTTTGGTGTTTTTAGAGTTAGAGAGTTCAAATTTGACATGAGAGCTATTTTTGGCAAAACATTACGTCATGCCAAATTTCATAAGGATCGGCCGACTATATTCCATAGCTGCCATATAACTGAACGATCGGAAATGACCCAACTTTCGTGTTTTTGAGTATAGAAAGCTGGAATTTAATACAGATTCTATTTTTGGTCAGTTGATCCAACCTACCAAATTTCATAAGGATCGGCCGACTATATCCCATAGTTGCCATATAACTGAACGATCGGAAATGGTATTTGGTAGAAATATCAACTTTCGTATTTTTGAAGATAGAAGTTTGGGACTTTTTTTAGATTTTGTATTGTAATAAATTGGATTATATATTCCTATTCCCATAAGGATCGGCCAACTATATCCGATGTTTGCGATATATATCCGGTTTTAACTGCAAGGGTATATAAACTTCGGCTCCGCCCGAAGTTAGCTTTCCTTTCTTGTTTTCATTACTATAGAGTAACTATATAAAAACGATTTCTTACTGCGCCATTTGTCCCTACATGACACGCAAACAGACGAGCTTGAAATAAGTTAATGTCAATTTAATAACTAAACTTATAACTTTTTTAATATGCGAAAAAATTTCCTTTTTATAAGTGGTGCTCGCAAATAAAGTAGCCAATTATTTAAGCTATATCCCAAGCCGTTTAATAGCTTATTTATTGAGATCGCTGCCATTCGCTCACCAACAAAATTTAATAAATATTCAATTAAACGCGTTACTGCCGAAGGGAGTAGACACTCGAGTGGCAGACGTGAAACTTAAACGATAGTCCAAAATGCCAGAGGACACCATTCGAGCTGTGCTAACCTGTCCCGACGCACAGTTCTGGCCATAAATTATGCAATAAGCAACTCAGTCCGAGCAATGCAATGCACTCTGCCCATAAATAACATGGTAGTCATGAAGCACTTCTGATCAAGTGCCTATACTGTTCCGATAAGGAGTGCAAAGGAAAATAATATTACTAGCGTTGATTAAATATTCTAAAAGAAAATGTTTTTTTTTAAAATAGTAATGCATAGTTTTAGGCCATTTTATTTTTATTCACATTACTGAAATATTAACCACCTACAAATTCGTGTAATTTTCTGAAATAGTTTTCATAGAACAGAAAACTACCGTGATAGTTCTTCAGCATATTGTTATTTAAGCATTTTAATTTTTTGAATTTTTTCCAGTTTTTGAACATCGAGAAAGTATGAATGTTTTACTAATTAAGCATATTCATTTGTCAAATATATTACAACCAAGAAATTAGAATATTTAATAACAGGTAGAATTTATGCGAGACAATGTCCGATTCACGGGACTAAATTAAATTTTGAAGTACACAAAAATGGGAACAACTGGCCGACCCAGGCCTCACTCGGGTCGTTTCTCGGCGTTCTTCTTGGTAAACTCCTCGGCCGTCTTCATGAACTTCTTTGGCTCCCGGACGAACTCCTCGGCCAAGTCGGAGCGTAGTGGATGCTCAGGCTCCGGGTCGTGAATGATGGCTATCAAAGCTTGCAGAACTTGTTCTGTGCGCGTGGTGGGCTTCCAGTTGTCCGAACTGATTATGGGAAGGCAGACCTGGCCCTTCTCGTCCACGTTCGGGTGATAAATCTTCGTCTTAAACAGGATCTTGGGCGGCATGAAGGGGTATTGTGGAGGAAAGCTGATCTCGATGCGGAAGGCACCCTTGTTATAAGGTGCCTTCTCCGGTACCAGGAGTCCCGTCCATAGCAACAAGGACTCATCGCTGCTTTCTATGTTCCTCACTGTGCTCATATTGGCCGACACCAGATCGGAGAGTTCCCGTGTCAGACGACGTGTGGCAGCCATTTCATTAAACAGACGAAACGTCTTGCTTCTTATTCTGAGGGTAACAATCAAATATAACTTTCTAATTTCTAGTCTAAAAAATGTATGTAAGTTTAAATTGCTTTTTTGGACAAATGACAGCCAAATCAAAAGGGGTTTGTAGAGCCCTTGAAGTCAGGTCTATTTATTAACGCCGACTTTGAATTTCCCCATAAACCAATAGTTTATCTATGTTATTTAGTGTTATATAAAAATATAATGGAAAGATAAAGGAAAATAATATTTATACAAAAGTTTTCTTGTAAAATTTCAGATGGGTTCTGTTTTTATGACGTAGACCAATAATTCTGTTAAATGATAGAAAAGACAACTAAGACTTTGGTCACGAAAATTATTTTAAAAATACCGAATTTGGTTTTAAGTATTTGATAATTTTGTTTGATTTAATCGTTTTTAAATTTTTCGAATTTTTTCCTATTGGTACCCCTACAAAATTGTGGCTTTTCCAAATTCCTCCACTTTTGGCCCTTCCGATCGGCACAGCTCCACCAATTGTTATCCGATCAGGAAATAAAGTACCATTTTGTAATCAGCAAACCCAGGAGCCACTTTCCTCATTCAAAACATTGCAAAAAGTCGTTTTTAAATTTTTCGAGTTTTTTCCTAGGGGTACCCCTACAAAATTGTGGCTTTTCCAAATTCCTCCGCTTTTTTCCCTTCCGATCGGCACAGCTCCGCCAATTGTTATCCCATCAGGAAATAAAGTACCATTTTGTAATCAGCGAACCCAGAAGCCTCATTCCCTCATTCAAAACATTGCTTAAATATCGTTTTTAAATTTTTCGAGTTTTTTCTTAGGGGTATCCTACAAAATTGTGGCTTTTCCAAATTCCTCCACTTTTGGCCCTTCCGATCGGCACAGCTCCGCCAATTGTTATTCGATCAGGAAATAAAGTAACACTTTGTAATCAGCAAACCCAGGAGCCACTTTCCTCATTCAAAACATTGCAAAAAATAGTTTTTAAATTTTTCGAGTTTTTTCCTAGGGGTACCCCTACAAAATTGTGGCTTTTCCAAATTCCTCCACTTTTGGCCCTTCCGATCGGCACAGCTCCGCCAATTGTTATCCGATCAGAAAATAAAGTACCATTTTGTAATCAGCAAACCCAGGAGCCACTTTCCTTATTCAAAACATTGCAAAAAATCGTTTTTAAATTTTTCGAGTTTTTTCTTAGGGGTATCTTACAAAATTGTGGCTTTTCCAAATTCCTCCACATTTGGCCCTTCCGATCGGCACAGCTCCGCCAATTGTTATTCGATCAGGAAATAAAGTACCATTTTGTAATCAGCAAACCCAGGAGCCACTTCCCTCATTCAAAACATTGCAAAAAATCGTTTTTAAATTTTTCGAGTTTTTTCCTAGGGGTACCCCTACAAAATTGTGGCTTTTCCAAATTCCTCCACTTTTGGCCCTTCCGATCGGCACAGCTCCGCCAATTGTTATCCGATCAGGAAATAAAGTACCATTTTGTAATCAGCAAACCCAGGAGCCACTTCCCTCATTCAAAACATTGCAAAAAATCGTTTTTAAATTTTTCGAGTTTTTTCCTAGGGGTACCCCTACAAAATTGTGGCTTTTCCAAATTCCTCCACTTTTGGCCCTTCCGATCGGCACAGCTCCGCCAATTGTTACCCGATCAGGAAATAAAGTACCATTTTGTAATCAGCAAACCCAGGAGCCACTTTCCTCATTCAAAACATTGCAAAAAATAGTTTTTAAATTTTTCGAGTTTTTTCCTAGGGGTACCCCTACAAAATTGTGGCTTTTCCAAATTCCTCCACTTTTGGCCCTTCCGATCGGCACAGCTCCGCCAATTGTTATCCGATCAGGAAATAAAGTACCATTTTGTAATCAGCAAACCCAGGAGCCACTTCCCTCATTCAAAACATTGCAAAAAATCGTTTTTAAATTTTTCGAGTTTTTTCCTAGGGGTACCCCTACAAAATTGTGGCTTTTCCAAATTCCTCCACTTTTGGCCCTTCCGATCGGCACAGCTCCGCCAATTGTTACCCGATCATGAAATAAAGTACCATTTTGTAATCAGCAAACCCAGGAGCCACTTTCCTCATTCAAAACATTGCAAAAAATCGTTTTTAAATTTTTCGAGTTTTTTTCTATGGGTACCCCTACAAAATTGTGGCTTTTCCAAATTCCTCCACTTTTGGTCCTTGCGATCGGCACAGCTCCGCCAATTGTTATCCGATCAGGAAATAAAGTACCATTTTGTAATCAGCAAACCCAGGAGCCACTTTCCTCATTCAAAACATTGCAAAAAATCGTTTTTAAATTTTTCGAGTTTTTTTCTATGGGTACCCCTACAAAATTGTGGCTTTTCCAAATTCCTCCACTTTTGGTCCTTGCGATCGGCACAGCTCCGCCAATTGTTATCCGATCAGGAAATAAAGTACCATTTTGTAATCAGCAAACCCAGGAGCCACTTTCCTCATTCAAAACATTGCAAAAAATCGTTTTTAAATTTTTCGAGTTTTTTCCTAGGGGTACCCCTACAAAATTGTGGCTTTTCAAAATTCCTCCACTTTTGGCCCTTCCGATCGGCACAGCTCCGCCAATTGTTATCCGATCAGGAAATAAAGTACCATTTTGTAATCAGCAAACCCAGGAGCCACTTTCCTCATTCAAAACATTGCAAAAAATCGTTTTTAAATTTTTCGAGTTTTTTCCTAGGGGTACCCCTACAAAATTGTGGCTTTTCAAAATTCCTCCACTTTTGGCCCTTCCGATCGGCACAGCTCCGCCAATTGTTATCCGATCAGGAAATAAAGTACCATTTTGTAATCAGCAAACCCAGGAGCCACTTTCCTCATTCAAAACATTGCAAAAAATCGTTTTTAAATTTTTCGAGTTTTTTTCTATGGGTACCCCTACAAAATTGTGGCTTTTCCAAATTCCTCCACTTTTGGTCCTTGCGATCGGCACAGCTCCGCCAATTGTTATCCGATCAGGAAATAAAGTACCATTTTGTAATCAGCAAACCCAGGAGCCACTTTCCTCATTCAAAACATTGCAAAAATCGTTTTTAAATTTTTCGAGTTTTTTTCTATGGGTACCCCTACAAAATTGTGGCTTTTCCAAATTCCTCCACTTTTGGTCCTTGCGATCGGCACAGCTCCGCCAATTGTTATCCGATCAGGAAATAAAGTACCATTTTGTAATCAGCAAACCCAGGAGCCACTTTCCTCATTCAAAACATTGCAAAAATCGTTTTTAAATTTTTCGAGTTTTTTCCTAGGGGTACCCCTACAAAATTGTGGCTTTTCAAAATTCCTCCACTTTTGGCCCTTCCGATCGGCACAGCTCCGCCAATTGTTATCCGATCAGGAAATAAAGTACCATTTTGTAATCAGCAAACCCAGGAGCCACTTTCCTCATTCAAAACATTGCAAAAATCGTTTTTAAATTTTTCGAGTTTTTTCCTAGGGGTACCCCTACAAAATTGTGGCTTTTCAAAATTCCTCCACTTTTGGCCCTTCCGATCGGCACAGCTCCGCCAATTGTTATCCGATCAGGAAATAAAGTACCATTTTGTAATCAGCAAACCCAGGAGCCACTTTCCTCATTCAAAACATTGCAAAAAATCGTTTTTAAATTTTTCGAGTTTTTTCCTAGGGGTACCCCTACAAAATTGTGGCTTTTCCAAATTCCTCCGCTTTTTTCCCTTCCGATCGGCACAGCTCCGCCAATTGTTATCCGATCAGGAAATAAAGTACCATTTTGTAATCAGCAAACCCAGGAGCCACTTTCCTCATTCAAAACATTGCAAAAAATCGTTTTTAAATTTTTCGAGTTTTTTCCTAGGGGTACCCCTACAAAATTGTGGCTTTTCAAAATTCCTCCACTTTTGGCCCTTCCGATCGGCACAGCTCCGCCAATTGTTATCCGATCAGGAAATAAAGTACCATTTTGTAATCAGCAAACCCAGGAGCCACTTTCCTCATTCAAAACATTGCAAAAAATCGTTTTTAAATTTTTCGAGTTTTTTTCTATGGGTACCCCTACAAAATTGTGGCTTTTCCAAATTCCTCCACTTTTGGTCCTTGCGATCGGCACAGCTCCGCCAATTGTTATCCGATCAGGAAATAAAGTACCATTTTGTAATCAGCAAACCCAGGAGCCACTTTCCTCATTCAAAACATTGCAAAAATCGTTTTTAAATTTTTCGAGTTTTTTCCTAGGGGTACCCCTACAAAATTGTGGCTTTTCAAAATTCCTCCACTTTTGGCCCTTCCGATCGGCACAGCTCCGCCAATTGTTATCCGATCAGGAAATAAAGTACCATTTTGTAATCAGCAAACCCAGGAGCCACTTTCCTCATTCAAAACATTGCAAAAAATCGTTTTTAAATTTTTCGAGTTTTTTCCTAGGGGTACCCCTACAAAATTGTGGCTTTTCAAAATTCCTCCACTTTTGGCCCTTCCGATCGGCACAGCTCCGCCAATTGTTATCCGATCAGGAAATAAAGTACCATTTTGTAATCAGCAAACCCAGGAGCCACTTTCCTCATTCAAAACATTGCAAAAATCGTTTTTAAATTTTTCGAGTTTTTTCCTAGGGGTACCCCTACAAAATTGTGGCTTTTCCAAATTCCTCCGCTTTTTTCCCTTCCGATCGGCACAGCTCCGCCAATTGTTATCCGATCAGGAAATAAAGTACCATTTTGTAATCAGCAAACCCAGGAGCCACTTTCCTCATTCAAAACATTGCAAAAAATCGTTTTTAAATTTTTCGAGTTTTTTCCTAGGGGTACCCCTACAAAATTGTGGCTTTTCCAAATTCCTCCACATTTGGCCCTTCCGATCGGCACAGCTCCGCCAATTGTTATTCGATCAGGAAATAAAGTACCATTTTGTAATCAGCAAACCCAGGAGCCACTTCCCTCATTCAAAACATTGCAAAAAATCGTTTTTAAATTTTTCGAGTTTTTTCCTAGGGGTACCCCTACAAAATTGTGGCTTTTCCAAATTCCTCCACTTTTGGCCCTTCCGATCGGCACAGCTCCGCCAATTGTTATCCGATCAGGAAATAAAGTACCATTTTGTAATCAGCAAACCCAGGAGCCACTTCCCTCATTCAAAACATTGCAAAAATCGTTTTTAAATTTTTCGAGTTTTTTCCTAGGGGTACCCCTACAAAATTGTGGCTTTTCCAAATTCCTCCACTTTTGGCCCTTCCGATCGGCACAGCTCCGCCAATTGTTACCCGATCAGGAAATAAAGTACCATTTTGTAATCAGCAAACCCAGGAGCCACTTTCCTCATTCAAAACATTGCAAAAAATAGTTTTTAAATTTTTCGAGTTTTTTCCTAGGGGTACCCCTACAAAATTGTGGCTTTTCCAAATTCCTCCACTTTTGGCCCTTCCGATCGGCACAGCTCCGCCAATTGTTATCCGATCAGGAAATAAAGTACCATTTTGTAATCAGCAAACCCAGGAGCCACTTCCCTCATTCAAAACATTGCAAAAAATCGTTTTTAAATTTTTCGAGTTTTTTCCTAGGGGTACCCCTACAAAATTGTGGCTTTTCCAAATTCCTCCACTTTTGGCCCTTCCGATCGGCACAGCTCCGCCAATTGTTACCCGATCATGAAATAAAGTACCATTTTGTAATCAGCAAACCCAGGAGCCACTTTCCTCATTCAAAACATTGCAAAAAATCGTTTTTAAATTTTTCGAGTTTTTTTCTATGGGTACCCCTACAAAATTGTGGCTTTTCCAAATTCCTCCACTTTTGGTCCTTGCGATCGGCACAGCTCCGCCAATTGTTATCCGATCAGGAAATAAAGTACCATTTTGTAATCAGCAAACCCAGGAGCCACTTTCCTCATTCAAAACATTGCAAAAAATCGTTTTTAAATTTTTCGAGTTTTTTCCTAGGGGTACCCCTACAAAATTGTGGCTTTTCAAAATTCCTCCACTTTTGGCCCTTCCGATCGGCACAGCTCCGCCAATTGTTATCCGATCAGGAAATAAAGTACCATTTTGTAATCAGCAAACCCAGGAGCCACTTTCCTCATTCAAAACATTGCAAAAAATCGTTTTTAAATTTTTCGAGTTTTTTTCTATGGGTACCCCTACAAAATTGTGGCTTTTCCAAATTCCTCCACTTTTGGTCCTTGCGATCGGCACAGCTCCGCCAATTGTTATCCGATCAGGAAATAAAGTACCATTTTGTAATCAGCAAACCCAGGAGCCACTTTCCTCATTCAAAACATTGCAAAAAATCGTTTTTAAATTTTTCGAGTTTTTTTCTATGGGTACCCCTACAAAATTGTGGCTTTTCCAAATTCCTCCACTTTTGGCCCTTCCGATCGGCACAGCTCCGCCAATTGTTACCCGATCAGGAAATAAAGTACCATTTTGTAATCAGCAAACCCAGGAGCCACTTTCCTCATTCAAAACATTGCAAAAAATCGTTTTTAAATTTTTCGAGTTTTTTCCTAGGGGTACCCCTACAAAATTGTGGCTTTTCCAAATTCCTCCGCTTTTTTCCCTTCCGATCGGCACAGCTCCGCCAATTGTTATCCGATCAGGAAATAAAGTACCATTTTGTAATCAGCAAACCCAGGAGCCACTTTCCTCATTCAAAACATTGCAAAAAATCGTTTTTAAATTTTTCGAGTTTTTTCCTAGGGGTACCCCTACAAAATTGTGGCTTTTCCAAATTCCTCCACTTTTGGCCCTTCCGATCGGCACAGCTCCGCCAATTGTTACCCGATCATGAAATAAAGTACCATTTTGTAATCAGCAAACCCAGGAGCCACTTCCCTCATTCAAAACATTGCAAAAAATCGTTTTTAAATTTTTCGAGTTTTTTCCTAGGGGTACCCCTACAAAATTGTGGCTTTTCCAAATTCCTCCACTTTTGGCCCTTCCGATCGGCACAGCTCCGCCAATTGTTACCCGATCATGAAATAAAGTACCATTTTGTAATCAGCAAACCCAGGAGCCACTTTCCTCATTCAAAACATTGCAAAAAATCGTTTTTAAATTTTTCGAGTTTTTTTCTATGGGTACCCCTACAAAATTGTGGCTTTTCCAAATTCCTCCACTTTTGGTCCTTGCGATCGGCACAGCTCCGCCAATTGTTATCCGATCAGGAAATAAAGTACCATTTTGTAATCAGCAAACCCAGGAGCCACTTTCCTCATTCAAAACATTGCAAAAAATCGTTTTTAAATTTTTCGAGTTTTTTCCTAGGGGTACCCCTACAAAATTGTGGCTTTTCAAAATTCCTCCACTTTTGGCCCTTCCGATCGGCACAGCTCCGCCAATTGTTATCCGATCAGGAAATAAAGTACCATTTTGTAATCAGCAAACCCAGGAGCCACTTTCCTCATTCAAAACATTGCAAAAAATCGTTTTTAAATTTTTCGAGTTTTTTTCTATGGGTACCCCTACAAAATTGTGGCTTTTCCAAATTCCTCCACTTTTGGTCCTTGCGATCGGCACAGCTCCGCCAATTGTTATCCGATCAGGAAATAAAGTACCATTTTGTAATCAGCAAACCCAGGAGCCACTTTCCTCATTCAAAACATTGCAAAAAATCGTTTTTAAATTTTTCGAGTTTTTTTCTATGGGTACCCCTACAAAATTGTGGCTTTTCCAAATTCCTCCACTTTTGGCCCTTCCGATCGGCACAGCTCCGCCAATTGTTACCCGATCAGGAAATAAAGTACCATTTTGTAATCAGCAAACCCAGGAGCCACTTTCCTCATTCAAAACATTGCAAAAAATCGTTTTTAAATTTTTCGAGTTTTTTTCTATGGCTACCCCTACAAAATTGTGGCTTTTCCAAATTCCTCCACTTTTGGTCCTTGCGATCGGCACAGCTCCGCCAATTGTTATCCGATCAGGAAATAAAGTACCATTTTGTAATCAGCAAACCCAGGAGCCACTTTCCTCATTCAAAACATTGCAAAAAATCGTTTTTAAATTTTTCGAGTTTTTTCCTAGGGGTACCCCTACAAAATTGTGGCTTTTCAAAATTCCTCCACTTTTGGCCCTTCCGATCGGCACAGCTCCGCCAATTGTTATCCGATCAGGAAATAAAGTACCATTTTGTAATCAGCAAACCCAGGAGCCACTTTCCTCATTCAAAACATTGCAAAAAATCGTTTTTAAATTTTTCGAGTTTTTTTCTATGGGTACCCCTACAAAATTGTGGCTTTTCCAAATTCCTCCACTTTTGGTCCTTGCGATCGGCAAGGAATTGTTATCCGATCAGGCAATAAAGTACCATTTTGTAATCAGCAAACCCAGGAGCCACTTTCCTCATTCAAAACATTGCAAAAATCGTTTTTAAATTTTTCGAGTTTTTTTCTATGGGTACCCCTACAAAATTGTGGCTTTTCCAAATTCCTCCACTTTTGGCCCTTCCGATCGGCACAGCTCCGCCAATTGTTACCCGATCAGGAAATAAAGTACCATTTTGTAATCAGCAAACCCAGGAGCCACTTTCCTCATTCAAAACATTGCAAAAAATCGTTTTTAAATTTTTCGAGTTTTTTTCTATGGGTACCCCTACAAAATTGTGGCTTTTCCAAATTCCTCCACTTTTGGTCCTTGCGATCGGCAAGGAATTGTTATCCGATCAGGCAATAAAGTACCATTTTGTAAAAGCCACAATTTTGTAGTGGTCAGAAAGGGCTTGAGGAGGAAAAAAATAGGAAAAAAATCGAAAAATTCCCAGTAGAATGGTGCGTTACTTCTCGATCGGATTAACGTTGGCAGTAAATTGAACTGTTGAGTTGATACACTTCCATTTGAGGAAACACACATATTTGAAGTTTGCCAGTGGCCGGGCCCATTTCTGAATATCGTCTGTATTTGTATTTTCTATTTTGATGACAGATTCCCCTTAACAAAAAGTGAGTAAAAAGTTATAAAATATATTTTATAAAGCATTTTGTCCTATATATGTATGTACAATTGCTATTTTCATAATTATTTTGCTCAGCTTATCTTTTTGGTGTCTTAGAATAGCAAGTCCTTGTTGCCATCGAAGAGACTCTGCCAGACCTTCAGCTTAGGCCACTCCGGCAAGTCAATGAATTTCAGATCATCGCTTATGTTAAGGCACTTGAATACCGGATCGGACTTGCGAACTGGATCCCAGGTTAGAGTGTCCATGCCGTTTATTTTCTCACTGTATGGATTCCCGGTGGCCGCAAACTGAGTCCAAATTCCCACAGTCCGCTCAATGGTTCGATACTCGCGACTGTCCTTTGGCAATCGTCTGGCCAATAGGCTGGGAAACTCATAGCCCAAATCATCGGCATGACTGACCCCTTTGACGCCACGTCCCATGCGCATAATGCGATATGGAAAAATGATCTCCTCGGAGTCGAAATCGAAACGGTAGAAATATACGGGAGCTCCGGCGGCGTGGGCGTGGCGAGAATGTACCACTCGTATAGCCGGAAAAACAAAATAGTTAATAGAACAAATCTGTTGAATAAAAATATTTGATAATAAAATAAATAAACACACGGGTTACAAGTAGAATTATCTTACATCCATGTAGTTATCGGGTGTGGCTTCTGTGCCTGTTCGATGAGCGTCGCGTAGCTTGGCTCCCCAAGCCTCAAGCTTATCTTTTCCAGGATCTGTGGCCAATAGTTCTCGTGGGATAAAGGGAACGCCAGCGTCCACCTGCTGCACTACCTGTGGCACCATTTTAATCTCTAAGTAACAAAAAAATATGTTTTAATTATAAAATTTTATAGAAAAATGAACAAACTCACCTGGCACCCACAGTAAACCTTCGTAGGAAGTATTACCAATCATCATGGGAATGGAATTGCTCCAGGCGGTCTTCATCATTTCCTTTGGATGTTTGGGAATAACACATTCTGGCGTTGAGAATGGTTCCAAAGATGGACCAAAGGCGAACATAATTTTGTTCATTCGATCCTCCAACGTCAGGACATTCTCCTCTACGCGAATGAGATCCTTGGCTTTTATGTTCTGCAAAAATTCAAGTACATCCTTGTCATTGTCCTCGCCCTTGTAGCCCGCCAACTTGGCTATCCTGTATGGATTGTGGGTAATGTCACCGTTGTAGGCCCATGGACAGATGGCACTGCCCGACTGGAGAATACCACGGTGGAAGAGTCCTTGGGTCTGCTCGGTTATCATCATGTAATGGGTGGAGGCCCCACCAGCACTTTCTCCAAAAACTGTTATACAATTGGGATCGCCACCAAAGCTGGCGCAATTGTTCTTGATCCACTTAAGAGCCAGCACCTGATCCTTTAGTCCTGCATTGCCAGGGACATTTAACTCCGGTGACTTAAGACTTAGAAAACCTGTTACAATTTATCAATTTATGAAAAAGTTTTTCAAAGTGCCTAAAATGGTTCTTACCCAAAGCACCAAGACGATATTGTATGGTAACTAATACCACATCTTCTTTTATGAAATAATCCGGGCCGTACCATTCCCTATTAGCCTCGCCAATAATGAAGCCTCCTCCATGAATCCAGACCAAAACAGGTCGTGGCTTATCGGGTTTAACCTGGAGAGGACACAAATAAATCAAATTAATCAAAATTATAAAAAATTCGCTTATCTTTATTTCTTGTAAACACGTGTTAACTTAATTAATTACTAAACGTGTATCAATAAAGCTTTCCTTATATACAAATTTGCAATGAGTAGGCATGATGTAGTCATTTTATTATCTCACCCTTGAAACCCAAGCTCTGCCCTTAGAATTGTTTCGATGAAACTGAGGAAATCAAATTTTTTCTGATACTCACATTGTTCGTGTAGACATTCAGATAGAGACAGTCCTCGGAGCCTTCGACCTTATCGAAAACAAACTGCACCTGTACCGCCTTGTCCTTGGGCTGGCTACAATCTCTCACACCCTCCCAGGGAGTGGGTCTTTGGGGCGCCCGAAACCGCAGCTCACCAACTGGGGGCTGGGCATAGGGGATGCCCTCGAAACTGAAGTAGGGCACATCGTAGAGGGACAGGCGCTTCACACCACGGACTTTGCCATATTCAGTTTCGGCAACTACAGTCTCGTTGGTGGTCGAGCGATATTGCTGGATTTTGTGTTCGACGGTTCTACAATAGCATAATGAAACGTGTAATTAGCATAACAATATTGGGATCGAACTAGCAGCCGGATAATTTGATATTTTTGTCACAGAGTCAATTATTTTAATTCATTCTCAAAGCCACACACCAGACTGGGCAGACTGCATGCATTGCATTAAATTTAAATTGTTTTGCTGCTATTCATCACATTGCATTCAGCATCCCAGCCCAACCCTATTGCGCCCATATCTCAAATACATGATTACACTTTGAAAATTTTAATAAATAAGTTATAATAAAGTTGTAAGAACTATATAACACTTTTAAAGTACATAGCCTCTATTCCAAAATTTAGCAAAAAATCTTAGCTAAAAAAAAAGACACCATCCTTGATCAACTATTACAGTAAATTATTTAAAATTTTTATTTTCTATTTATTTTCAGTGATATCTACACGTGCAGGCTCTGCCTGGACATCAGTTTTAGTCGGTTCAGTCGACTGTGCGGTCCACCTGCTAACCAGGCACGTCTGTCGGTGATAAATTAACACAGTCCGCTGCTGCCACTGTTTCTGCTTCTTGTGACCAGTGAGGCAGCAACACGAAGTGCCCGGCCCGGGTTTAAAGCTCAGAACTGCCCTTAAATCATTTCAAGTTCAGGCCACCCTTTGCCTCGGCTTGGCTTTAATAATCTACGTCAAATACACACACTGGCACGTTTGCAATCTTCTGAATATATTATTAGCCATTGTTCTGTCTTATCAACAGCTGTCAGGAGTTATCACAGTCCCAGCTCTTAAGCAGCCGTAATTATTAATTTGTGTTTAAAAATGAAATGCCCATTATCAGGGTCAGGGGTCAGAATCGCACTTCACAATTTCAGGTCTATTGGAGTATAAAAATAAACTTTAATCGGAACTTATTGGCTTGGAATAAATTGTGATATGTTAATAACAAAGTTAATATGAAAAATTGCTGATAATTATTTAAAGCCCCATATAAACTTTAATTACATTATTTTAAGGCAGAAAAATAAAAACATCGCACCCAATTTAGCTGTCAGCTTTGTGAAATTTTAATTTGCCAATTAAAGGCAATGATTTTAACATGAAACAAAAGGGAACGTGTTGAAGATGAAACCTTTGTAATACATTTTACCAATCAGATTCATTATCTAGGGTGTGACGTGCTAAGAGCACGTTCCTAGCCTGAGCTCTTAATCTGAAGCCAATATATTATTAATTCTGATTCCATATATTAGGGCGCAGCTTAGCTTTTTAGTTATTCTACTGACAATGTGTTCATGCGCTGGGGAATGTAAACAAGTCAACAATTTGCAAGCCTTTTTACCGAAACAAATGCAATGGTTGTATTTATAAAGTTGCTAACCAAGCAGGAATACGTTTTCGTAATAAAAGTAAAATATTACACACGTATTTACTGATTAAGCAATAAATCCGAGTTTTATGAATTAATCGAGAGTCGATTAATGATTGTATGTGACACTTTTATTACCATACTGAAACTTTTTCAATATAACGCAGGAGATGGGCCAACTTTATGGATATTATATTTTATGGATTCAAATACTTACGAATACACCAACAATTTAATGGCCTTAGAACGAACAAGTTGTGAAATATCCCAGATTCATTTTTAATTATTTCATCTGTTTACTTTCATCTTGAAGCACTTTAAAATCTTGACTAATATAATTAAAATTTATCAACACTGATAAGTCGATTTTAATGACCTTATACACTCTTTTCATGACAATTGCGTAATTCTGCCAAATCTAATCACTTCTCAAAAATTATCTCACCCAAAAGGCCAACAAAAAATTAATAATTCTGTTCATCCAAAAATTAGTCACGCCTGACAGTGAATGGCAGAAATTACCAATAAAAACGAAATGGTATAAAAAAATATCTGAGCAAACAAAGAATCCGCAACACGAACCGCTGCAATTGACAACGCTAACCACAACAATAGCACTCTCCGACATTAATAACTGATAATTAAATAAATAATTCCAGGCATTAAGGTCAACGTCGAAACTTACTTGAGGCGCCAGCGCAAGCGTTCCACAAAGCCGAGGTTCTTGTTCATTTTGGATAGACTAGATCACCATGCACGAACCGATCGATTGGCTAAATTGGAATGTATCTACGATCCACGAGCTGCGTACTGTATCGCTCCAGCGCCGAACTGAAACTGAAATTAAAAACATACTTTTTCCGTCGAATTCCAGCAGCCGCGGAGCGTTCAGCAAACGAGCTCGCAAAATAGGCGAAAACAAGCGAAAAATATCAGAATACAAATTAAACACAAAAAAAAAATAATAAGAGTGAGAGAGGAGAGAATAAAAAATCAACAAAAAGAATAAAAAATATATTTCAAGTGCGGAGCAGAGATAAAAGGCAACATCTACAACAACACGAGTTGCCGATCGAGCGTGGGCTGTCCGGCTTTGGGGAGAGAGTGGGGGCACTGGGGCGGAGGGTGTAACACCTCTTGACGCGCCTTTGGCGAATGCATAATTAATCAACACTGCACAAAATGAAGATCTCTCTCCGCCTAGCAAATACTAGCCAAGTATCTTTTTCGCAGTGTAAACAGTATCTAAGTATCTTGAACTTAGCCAAGTATCTAGCCAAGAAACTATTAGCCAAGCTCTCGCCCCGCTTTTCGGCAATCAAGGGGAAAGTCAAGGGGAGACACGCAGGAAGGGGGCATCCACTGAGTGGGTCAACAACATTATGATCGCACCGGCAAAACCACTGTAAACAAACAAATTGATGGCTGTGGCGTTTGTTTTTGTTTACATGGCCGGAAAGCTTGTGGCAGGTGTGGGGCGTCGGCATAAAGCTTCAAAATAGCTTTCAAGCTTTCCAGAAAAAGCAACAGTTGTACCTCATTTTGAAGATTTTTTTTAAATTTACAATTATAAAAAGCTTCTTAACATTTTTTTTAAACTTATGAAATTATTTAAAGTATTTTTTTTATGAATTACTTTTAAAGTACGCTATACTTAAAAAAAACCCGATAGGAACTTACATTTTTATTCTGGTTTATTTTCAAATTATTTTAACTACAAGAAGAATTTAAAAAATAATTTATATTAGAAAATAGGTACAAAATAAATTTAAATTTAGCAACAAACTACGTCAACTTTAGATACTTCCTAAAATTTGTTAGAGTCCAAATTTCAGCATTGCTTTGCCATTGAATAAATTCGATTCCAAACCTCTAGGCCATCTTTTTCAAATTGCGTAACCATCTCCAGATCCTGTCCAATATTCATGACTTTATAAGGATATTTAACGGTTATGGGTGTCCACTGATCAGGTCCAGTTTCCGGACAGTTTGGATCACCGGTCCGGGCAAAGGTGGTTAGTATAGTCACCATTCGATGGATAGTGCAATATTCAGGAGAGTCCAAGGGAAATTGTTTAATAGCCTGCTTGTGGAATATGTAGCCCAAATCGTCGGCATGACACACGCCCCGCTTGATGTCATCCCCGCAAAGATTGTTCCGCATCAGGTTCAGCTTTGGGGAATCAAAGTCGAAGCGATAGAGGTAGGTGGGTGCCTGGGCTAAGGATATCCTGGAAAGTGCCACACGATGCATGCCATGCCAGAATAGTTTGTAGCTAAATAACTACAATATAAGAAATTAAAACATGAATAATATTCAGCTATTAAAAACGAACATTAGTTCTCTACTCACATCCAAAATTTGCGTTATATTATTTTTGGTTATTCCTCGAGGTCCATAGTGGTATTTTATCAGTTCGTTGGCAGCATCGGTTCGCTCCTCTGGAGACATTTCATTGTATAAACCATGGGACAGAACCAGGGCTGGTTCCTGTTTCAGCAACTCCAGCATATAGCCGTTATCTAGCTTGCAATAGGGATAAAAAACCAGCCCCTCGAAGGATGTACCTCCCATCAACAGGGGAACTTGACACGACCACGCCTCCTTCATCAGCTGCGTGTAGGGAACTTGTATCAGCCCGGAGTTGGTTTGGGCCAATTCAACACCAGGTACGAAGGGATACAAAAATCCAAACAGACAATCGCGAGCGTTGAAAAAATCATGACCCATCAGCTTTTCAGCTTCTACCGTACGAAGGAATTTCAATATGGATGCCTCGTTGGGTGGACCTTGATATCCTGCTGCATTGGCAAGGCGAGAAAACATGCTCTGTCGCTCTGGAGCATCTGACCAGGGACTCAGCATCGATCCAGACATCATAATGGCCTTGTGGAACAGACCCTTCGCCTGGGGAAGACACATCATAAAATGCACCGATGCCGCTCCAGCGCTCTCTCCGAATATAGTTATGTTCTGCGGATCTCCGTTGAAGCACTTGATGTGTTCGTTGACCCATTTCAAGGCTAGTATCTGATCCTGGAGACCCGCATTACCGGGGACATCGGACTCTCGACTGGGCATGCTGAGGAATCCCAAGGCACAGAGCCGGTAGTTGAAAAGCACGTATACCACATCCTTGCTCATCAAATAGTCCGGCCCGTATTTGGAGCGGATGGCACCTCCCGTGCGAAATGCCCCGCCGTAGAAATAAACCATGACCGGAAGAGGTGGCTTCGATTGATCAAACTAAAATTATTATTATGAACCAGATATAAGATACTAGAAATTATTATGTAAGATAGAATTAGATATAACATGTAAGGATTCTCTAAGAAAAAATAGATAATAAAGAAACCAAAATGGTAGAATTTTATTATGTATTAACTTTAAAGGGTAAACCATACCCTCATCATCTCTATTGAGAGCAATTGGTACAGTACTTAGCTTAACACTAATTGCTGAATTTCCATGCCAATAATTGTTACCTATAAAACATCTGTATGTATGTTCCATGAAACTCCCAAAAGCCTTAAGCCTGCCATTAAACCTTTCAGGACCAGGTAGCTCAAGTAAAATTCAGGTACCATTGTAAACACAGGTAACAGCATCTCGAATATAAGTGAGTAAGTCCTTCACATTGTACTTAGTCCTTTCTCTGCTGTGAAACTCATCAGACGTAAAATAGAAGTACAACTTATATCTGAACAATCAAGAACTGTGAAAACTCGTGCAACAAAATGAAAATGTTTAACGAAAATTTGTTCCTGACTTCGTTGGTGTCTCAATTTCCTTTAGAAACATATCGAATTTACCCCATAAAGGGTGGCATTGACTTTAGCGAATTCTTCGATCAATGCGAAATGAATCTGGTTCAAACTTTATTCAAGTGCTTGACCGAATACATTAACATAAAATTTAACCTCAAAGTATACGTGTCATACACCCGAGAAGATGAGGAGGGAAATCTTTTGCTAATGGAAAAATATTTTGAAGCTCCATATGTGGTTACTAACTGTATAAAGTCTGCTCTCAAAGAATTAAGTGAGGCTGTTACCAGCTTAAATACCATGAGCACTGAGTTCATGAGCAAGGATTCGGGCTGGTCCATACATACTCTTGAATATTTTGAGATCAACGTAATAAAATTGGATGAATTACCAACGCAAACTGCAATGGGGGATAACAAGGCTGAGTTTTCATATCCAAATCCAAATACCAAAATGGCTTTTCAGTCATTTCACAAAAATATATCGCCACCGATTGTGATTTATGCCGGAATAAAGGTACTGGAAGGAAACTATCAAGATACTTCCATGTCTGCAAATAAAGAAGTGCTAAGTCCCACCGCTTGTGCAGCTTCATTTTACATTATTCATCACTACAATTATGATATGAATGAAATGTTTACATTCGAAGGTAGATACAGTTTATTTTTAATTGATTTTGTATTTTTAATAACATATTTTCCTTTCTCCAGGTCCTGACTGCTTGAAAATGTTTTGTAGAAAGCTGAATGAAGAAACTACAAGACTTTATAACCAATATTGGAAAACAGAAAATATGCCAGAAATCATGTTTGGTAAAAATCAAATGCCAAATGTAAAATGCTTTGCCTGTGACAAATCACTTACTAGCAAAGAATGGGAGGTATCCTTTAATCAATTCAACGGAAAACAAATAGGTCCTGTGCATTCGGCTTGCAAGTTAGAATACAAATTAACAGACCCATCATTTCCAGTAATTTTCGAAAATTTCTCGACTCACACCATGAATTTATTAGTGAGTGAACTAGGAGAAGATATGAAACTTCTTCCCGGCGATACGGAGCTCTATTCTACAATAACCAAACGAGTTATTGATTCCACAAATTCTTATAAAATATGTTTCTTAAACAAAAACAACTTCTTTAACTTTAACCTCGAGTATATGGGGAGTTACATGGACGTACATGACTTTCAGCATTTGAAAGCCAAGTTTCCAGGAAACAAATTAGATATGATGTTTAAGAAATTTGTATTTCCGAATGGCTACATAGATAATGTTGAAAAGCTAAAAGAAACAAAGCTACCGGACATTAATCAATTTTTCAACACCCATGACGGGGATAAAGATAATATTGAGGACTATTACTTTGCGCAAAAGGTATGGACAACTTTCGGCTGCACTAACATTCTTGAGTATATGAAGTTGTACTTGGAAAGAGATGTTATCATTTTGGCTGATGTATTCGAGAATTTCAGGAAGACTTGTAATAAAATATACAGCTTAGAGCCAGTACATTATCCCACTGCCGAATCAATGTCGTGGGACGCGATGCTTAAATGCACCAAAGTGCAACTAGATTTAATCAGTGATCCGGAAATGGTCAAATTCGTAAGCTTAGCTAGGCGAGAGGGATTAATTCAATGCACCACGCGAATGATGGAAGCTAATAATAGATACATGCAAAAGTACAATCCCAGAAAGCCAACCAGATATTTGGCATGTCTTGAGGCGAATAATTTGTATGAGTGGGCAATGAGTGAGCCATTGCCATACTCTGATTTCAAATTTTTGAGCAGCTATGAGATCAAGTGCCTCGATTTTCGAAATATATGTCCAGATGGCGAAATAGGATATATATTAGAAGTGGATTTAAGGTATCCACATCATTTACACGATCCCCATAACTTCTTGCCATTTTGCCCTATCATCAGGATACCGCCTGGAAAAAAGATCCCAATCGTAATGGCAGATTTAAACGATAAAAAGAATTACATTTTAAATTTAAAACATCTGCAACTATGTTTGCAACAGGGACTGATTCTTGAAAACATACACAGGGTATTGTCCTTTCAGCAACGCTGTTGGCTAAAACCGTACATTGACTTGAATCTAAATCAATCAACCAAAAATGAATATGAAACGAGATTTTTTGAGTCCATGAACTACGCTATATATAGAAGAAGTATGAAGAAACCAGAGGAACACACTGATATTTTTTTGATTAAGGAAAAGGAATTTTTAAAACGCATAGCTCAAAATGACGTTCAAAGTGTGGAAATATTCGGACAAAACTTAGCTGCGATTAAGACAAAAAGTTCAATTATTTGCTACAATGAACCTATTTACATTGGCGTTATCGTTTCCGAATTAACGAAATGGAAAATGTACGATTATTATTATAATTTTTTGCTTGTCAAGTGTCCTTCCCTTGTGAAAGGCTACATGGACAATAACCTTTTTATTGTATCCATAGAAGAAGATATTTACAGTTTAATAAAAGGGAATCATGACCACTTTGATACCTCCAATTTTGAAGACAACCGATTTAATATAATACCAAAAAATAGAAACAAGCTAGGTCTTCTAAAAGACAAGTCTGCAGGCCGCATAATGGCAGCATTTGCAGGATTAAGAACTAGAGTTTACACTTGTATTCAGGAAGAGGAGGATATTGATTAAAATGTATTATATGTATGTACATCCATATGATAGAGTTTAGATATATGTGTTTAAATATAATGTATCATGTATAAATACTTTTTTATAAATAAAATTAAAATACCTCTAGCCTTACTTGATACTTTACTACATGGTCAGGGGCTACTGCAAAGGCTCTGATTCTGATTACTCACATGCTTGGTGTATACATTCAGGTACAGGCAATCCTCGCTACCGATGATCTGGCCCGTCTTTCGGTCTGCCTGAAGGGGTACACTTTTTTCCTGCCTTGCATCCAATTCGTGTTTCCAAGGATCCGCCGGAACGGGTGCTACGAAACGCAGCTCGCCCAGCGGCGGCTTGGCGAAGGGAATCCCCTCAAAACTATAGAAATCGTCACCGTAGAGACCCATCTGCCAGCGGCCTCTCACCTTACCGACAGATAGCTCAACGACCTTGGAGTCTGCATCACCTGACTGACTGGTGGCTCCACTGATGGTATAGCTCCGTTTTGGTATTAGATAGCGCAGACATTTGCTCCGACTACGACTACGTGGCAGGAAGAGTTTCCACATTCCAGTGCTTCTCGACCTATAACAGTCGGGTAACTAGATCTGGCCTACAAGGAGAGTTTAAGACCTCCCCCAAAATTTTGACTTTACCAGAAAAAGAAAAATACGAAATATATCTGATCGCCAACTGAGCGGAAAAACAATATACATATTTTTATACAATAAAATCGCCAAAGTTAAAAAATAAAATTTTAGAACACATTTTGCGAGCCGAAAAGCTTTAATTAAAATTTTTAGTGGGCCTCGATGGGCAAGTCCTGATGCTCACAGTCACGGCATCGACATCCCTTGCTGTGCTCTTCCTCCAGCAGTTCGAAAAGTTCGGCATTATCGCATACCTTATATAGCATAGGCCCATCGGTGGACTCCTTGTTTTCATATGAAATGATCTCTTCCCCTTGAAGAGTCTCACCATTCTCAGGTTTGGGTTCCGCAGCACTTTCCATCTTGGATTTCTGAAATTTTTGGATCTGAATATCGATATTTGGCTTGTACCATTCGTAAAGTTTAGGAAGGGTAAAAAGCAACACGTGTCCTTAAAAAAAATACAATTAGAAATTATCCTCATCATCTTAATCTCTAAATTGAAAGCTGCTCACCGAAAATTAACAATGTCAAGCCATTAAAACAATCGCCCAGCAAATTAAGGCCGCACATTACGGCCAAAAACTTTAAGGATCTCTCCCAGTTCTCAACCACAAACAATTCCAATAGATGATTTATGGTCGCGTTAAAACGATCCACGCCAATCCCGGCTAAACGCATCACCTCCTCCCTAGGAATGTTTAAGTTTGGCTGCCAGTACAGGCGATAGGGCTGATTCTGGCCCACATCCTTTCGCCAAGATCGCATAAGTATCCCAATGCAGCGGGTGCCAATGCTTGCCAGAAGCACTGTGATCCCCGCCATGCTCACCACGCTGATTATCGAGTGCGCCACGACGTCCAGGAGAATCACCAGGATGCCGGTGAATACCACAATTGACTCGCGATAATTGCGCCAAAGGACCAAATTCTTGACGAAGTCCAACAATTGGTTGGAGTTCTCAGCCGGTTTCGGATCTTTGGAAATCATCTTTTTAGATTTAAGGCTTAATTTATGAATATAGGTAGAAGGGTTGGGTTGAGTTGTTACTGTGATTTCTTGTCTTTCTGACAACTGTAAACAAAAGGACTACTTGTAACAAAAAAGAAAGAAATTTTCATAAAAACTTTGAAACCTTGTAAACGTTTAGTTGTAGTAAATCACTTGAAAACTTCAGTCTTATTCTTCAGTTGACGGATACAGTCTTAATTTATTAAAAAATAAACTGCTAAAATATTATATCATTTAAAATTTCGCAGTCCCATGAATTGTCTATCTAAATCAACTGTTCCGGCTTGTAGATGCCATCCCACACCTGCAGCTTTTCGTACTCAGGCAGATCAATAATTTTTACTTCATCACTGATGTTTAGCACCAACTTAGGATTTTCTTTAGTTGAGGGCTTCCAAATAACTTCACCGATTTCCGGACAATTTGGGTTTGAGCTTGCAGCAAAGGCTGTCCAAATACCAATCATTCGTTGAATTGTTTGGTACTCCTTAGAGGATTTTTCCAGCTTCCAGCTCGCAGCGTTTCGCCACAAGTAACTGAGATCATCAGCGTGCGCTACTCCTGTTTTAATATTGTCTCCGCAGAATTTGGTGCGATAGAAGTTGAAGGTCGGGGAATCAAAGTCAAAGCGATAAAAGTATGTAGGAGCCTTTGCATACGCAAGCCTGGCATTCAAAGTTCTATTAAATCCATGCCAGAAGATCTTGTAGGAATAGTACTAAGAGAAATAAAAGAGATAATTAATTTAGATTTAAATAAAAGGCGGTATAAACTCACATCCAAAATATTCATAAAGAGCTTGGAACTTGGCGGGGCATCTCCAAAGTAAGTTTTAATCAGCTTTTGACTGAACTCCAGATTGTCCTTTTCAGTGTTCACTGCCCGAACATCAAACGGCACCATCCTCAGGGGATCTTTGGTAAGGTTGTCCAGTCCCTGGAGATTGGCAGAGACTGCAGGATACATGAAGAGACCCTCGAAGGATGTTCCTCCCAGCATGGCAGGCAGTTCGTTGGTCCAGGCCTCGCGAGCCATTTCCACCGGCAGCTTGGGCACCACACAATCCTCACCCACGTAAGGTTCCACGGTGGGTCCAAATGCAAAGATCATTCCATTTCTGCGGTGTTCTGGAGTCACCAAATTGTGGTTTACCAATTCTATAGCAGGAACTCCACGCAGATGCTCCAAAACTTGGGCATCGACATTTTCGCCAGTATAGCCATTTTGTTGCGCCAGCCGGAAGGCAAAGTCCTCAGTAGGACTATTCGCCCAATAATTATGCACGGTTCCTGACATGGGGATGGCCTTGTGGAAGAGGCCCCGGGTCTGTTCTGTGCACATCATAAAATGCGTGGAGCAACCGCCGGCACTTTCGCCAAAAACGGTGATATTATTCTCATCCCCATTAAAGTTCGAGATGTACTTTTTGACCCACTTGAGGGCCAAGACTTGATCCTTAAGGCCAGCATTTCCGGGTACCTTCACGCTGGGATCCTTGAGGGACAGAAAACCTAAAATAGAGCGAGTTATAGCTTAGACTTCCTTCGGGAAATAAGTTTTAAGAATACATTTTTCCAAAAACAGATTACCAACCATTACAATTCAGACACCAGCATTTGATTTAATATTGATATTTTGAACTTGTACGCAAAAGTTCGCGATAGATAACGCCACTATCACACCTTTTGGGCTTGACGATAAGATATTAACACTAGTAATGTCGACTCACCAAAAACATCTAAACGGTAATTGAGTGTTACCAGGACAACATCTTTGGCCATGAAATAGTCCGGCCCGTAGATTTCCCGTGTAGCCTCGCCCACGGTGAAGGCCCCACCGTAAATATAGACCATTACGGGTAGAGGTTTGTCAGTCTTTAGCTGTCAAAATAAATTCAATCAATTATAATTATCATAGGTAACAAAAGTAAAAAAAAATCTTTAATTTTATAAAATTTTTAATGTTATTTTGTATTTGAAAATTTTCTTAGATCTAAGGACCAATTTACCCTATAGGTAGTGACGTCATTAGTTACGCCAGACAAATCACAGGTGTTATAACATCTAACATCTAAGTTATTTAATATAGTTAATTACCTGTTTGGCATAGACATTCAGATACAAACAGTCTTCGGCTCCTTCGATATCGCCTGTCATAAAACTTTTTTGGAAAGGCTTCTCCGCATAGTGAGTGCAATCCAATACCCCACTCCATGGATCAGCCGGCTGGGGAGCTTTAAACCGTAATTCTCCCAACGGAGGCTTTCCAAAGGGGATCTTCTCGAAACTATAGTAGTTGTCGTCATAGAGGCTCTGACGTTTAACGCCCTTGATCTTGCCGAGGGGCAGAGTCAGTTCACAGGTTTCTTGACTGAATTAGTAACGATTAATAAAACAAATCTAGGGTATTCCAGACTTACTCCGCTCACTTTTCCGACATCGCGAAGTAGTTGTCCGCCTCGGTCAACTGTGTCCAATTGAATGAATTAAAAAATCAAATCACTACCCAAAGTTCGCTCTCTTACAGAGGTGTCTTAAATTACGTTGCCACTGATCGAGCTTTTTGCTTTGGTATTAAAAGCTTGTTTATTAAAAATCTGTGGTCTGTTGTCCATTTAGGTGACGAACTGCCCGCAGGTGGCTTTTAAAAGCTTACGAATACTAATTTTTGTATTAAAAGATTAAAACCTGCTACACACAAGCCAGTAATGTACTTTATCAAGTTTCTTTATTTACTTTAAATAGTAGTTGTGTTTAAGTAAAATCTTCGTCATTTCCTTAAAACAAAGGTAAATCTGCCTGTTCATATAAGCGATCGTAGAATTTTAGCTTCGAATACTCTGGCGAGGGATTATCTTCAAGTCCTCATCAATGTTAAGAAGTAAAGGGGGCTCAGATTGGGTAAGAGGTTTCCAGTCCACGAGAGGCTTTGTAATTTCACAGTTAGGATTCGAAGTAGAGGCAAAGGACACCCACATGGCCACCATTCGTCTGATGGTAGAATATTCTGGTCGAGACTTTTCCAACTTGAAGGTGGTCGGCATCACAAAAATATACGCTAGTTCGTCTGCATGACAAACGCCCCTCTGGTTCGGGTCTAGAAAACAGCGTTTCCGATATAAATTAAAATCTGGAGAATCGAAAGCGAATCTGTAGAGATATGTTGGTGCCTGAGCATAAGCCAGTCTGGACCGGATAAGACGATACTGCGAATGCACTATATTATGAGTAAATAATTTTTCCAAGCCATCCGCGCGCTCAATGGTCAACTGATTGCCATGAGCCTGGCAAAAAAAGTCCAGGAACTGCTCCCCAACTTGACGTTGCTGCTCGGGGTCGTAGTGCCGCTTTAAGGTCCAAGGCAGTACACGTTCAGGATTCTCCTGAAAAGCTAGAAGTTCCTTGGCGCCATCGTTTTTCAAACCCATTAAATGATACAATCCGTCCTCAGAAGAAACTCCCAAGACGACTGGAATTCGATGGCTCCAAGAGGTGCGAAGTAGTTCAATGGGTTCAGCTAGCAACACTGCTCCCGGAGTAACATAAGGTTCCAGGCAGGGTACAAAGTCCAAAATCTCACCCTTTTTCTTTTCTTCCGGAGTGGATATATCGGCTTTTGCCAATTTGTTTGGGTCCGCCTTCAAAAGGAATTCAAAAACTTGTTTGTCGATGTTTTCGCCCTCATAACCTAAATTTTTGGCCAGCCGGAATTCCCAGTTGGGTCGGCGATATAGCTCCATGCAAAAGCCAGCCATAAGAATTGCCTTTTGGAAGAGTCCTTTTGCTTGTGGACTTGCCATAAGATATTGGGTACTAGCGCTACCAGCGCTTTGCCCAAATAGGGTCACCCTTTCGGGGTCACCATTGAAGTTAACCGCGTTGGCCCTAATCCAGCGGAGAGCATGAACGACGTCCTTGAGACCTGCATTTCCAGGAATCCCCAGAGAAGGATCCGAAAAACTAAGGAAGCCTAAAACGAGAGAGAGAAATAAATTATTATTATCTACATATTTTGTCTATTTATTTTTTTATTCATTCACCAAAAGCTCCTAAACGATACCCAACTGCAATGTAAATGACATCTTCTCTCATAAAATAATCTGGGCCAAGGGTCTGCCTCAAGCTATCTCCGCGCTTGAATACACCTCCATGTAGATAAACCATTATGGGTAAAGGATTTTCGCTTCTCAACTTTAACAAATAAAAATAGTAAAAAAAACTTGAAAATGCTTAGCTTATTATATAATATATTACTCACTGATTTCACAGAAATATTTAAGTATAGACAATCCTCAGATCCCTTGACCTTCTCAAGATTTTTATCAGCTTGAAGACAAACATTCGGTGGCTGGGTGCAGTTGAGAATTCCGCTCCAAGGCTTCATCTCGTGAGGTTCCTTGAATCTCAAGGATCCAATAGGAGGCTCGGCGTAAGGGACTCCATCAAAAGCGTAGAATGGTTGACAGTAAGGAGATTTTAGAAGAGTGCCCCGCACTTTTCCGTGCGTTGTTTGCACCACTGGTGAAGTTTCACTGAAAAAACAAAATTCTAAATAGTTTCAATTATAATAAGAACTTAAAACTACTTTACTTTTCTGCAGACATTACTGATCGCTAGGAGCTTCAAAATTCGACTGTGTAGGAATTTTAAAAGTTTTTCCTCAAATCTCTACAATTCCACTAGGGGGCCCAATAAACCTACTTAATGTCTTAATAAAATGTCAGTATTTAATTGTTTAAACTTTAAAGATACCTCTTCTAGATAGTGGTAAAAAAGATTTAAGCTTATCTTACGTCTTTATCTAAAGCTTTTATGCATGTTTATGATAGGAAAAAGTATAAACTCGTAACTTAATATCCTAATAGTGAAGCAGCATTATGGTCCAGAGTCAATTTATGGAAATATTTGCATTTATTTCTTTATTTGAATGCCTTTTGTGAAACATATAGAAAAAATAAAAGGCAAAACTTTATTTTAAGCACACATTGGAATAAAAAAAAATTAATTTCATAGATAAGGAGATGTAATCTTAATGGAAAAAGAGATTAAAACAGTTTGCTGGTGGGTAATCTTGTTTTCACTTTTGTTTGGTTTTTTAAATTATCGTCACTATCTTATCGTTCATAAAAAACATTATTTTTGCTTTTCGTGAGTTGCATAAAATCGATCCACACCAAAAATGGCTAAAATAAAGGCACTTCAGCTTGCACGAACAAGCGCTCATAGAACTTAAGTTGTGAATACTCTGGTTGCGGAATAAACTTTAAATCCTCGCTAATATTGAGCAGCATCCGAGTCCCGAATCGAGTAACTGGTGTCCACTGTACCAGAGGCTTGGTTATGTCCGCATTTGGATCAGAGGTAGCAGCAAATGAAACCCACATAGCCACCATACGACGAATGGCGGTAAACTCCGGGCGTGACTGATCCAGTTTAAATGTGGCTGGGATAACGAAGATGTACCCCAGCTCGTCCACATGGCCAACACCTCGTACCTCCTTTCCCCCGTATCGAATACGGTAGAAATTAAAGTCCGGTGAGTCGAAATCGAAGCGGTACAGATATGTAGGCCCCTTTCCGTAAGCCAGCCTAGATTGGATCACACGGTCCATAGAGTGGACCATATTGTGAGTGAACAGACTATCCAGATTTTGAAGATACTCCATTGTTAGCTGGTGGCCATGGACTTCACAAAAGTGGGACAACAACTGCTGGGCCAACTGTCGTCGTTTGCCAGGATCACAACGATTTCGTAGTGTGGAGGGCAGAACACGCTCTGGACTGCTTTGATAGTCTTTAAGCTGAGTTGGATTCTTTTTCAGATTATTAAAAACTCCCAGACCCTCTCCACTATTGGCGCCCAGAATAATTGGAATCCGATTTCCCCAAGCAGTACGATGCAGGTCAATGGGTTCCCCAAGGAGAACCGCATTTTGGGTTGCATAACTCTCCACGCAGGGTACAAAAGGCATAAAAAATCCTTTTGATTTCTCCGCCGCCGTAAAAAAATCAGCCGATACTAGAAGGTTTGGATCTGCTTTCGATAGATAATCCAACACTTGTCCATTAATGTTCTCGCCCTCGTAGCCCAAATGCTTGGCCAGGCGGAATTCCATGTTAGGCAATCGGTTGAGCTCCATGGAATAGCCAGCCATAAGGATTGCCTTGTGGAAGAGTCCTTCCGTCTGAGGACTGACCAGAAGGAGGTGCACAATCATGCTACCTGAGCTGTGTCCAAAAAGAGTTATCCTTTCAGGGTCACCATTAAAGCGAGATGCATTGGCCTTAATCCAACGAAGAGCCAGAACGATGTCCTTAAGGCCTGCATTTCCAGGAATCTCCAAGGAGCTATCTGCAAAGCTTAGGAAACCTTAAAAGGGGAAATTAAAAATTATAATATATATATATGTGGTTGAAATTGTAATCTTTAAATTCATCTGAAGCTTACCTAGGGGCCCCAGACGATGTCCAATGCTTATATAAATGACATCCTCTTTCATAAAATAGTCAGGACCCCAAGCTCGTCTAGAGGAGTCGCCTCCCTTGTAACCTCCACCGTGAATGTAAACCATTATAGGCAAAGGCTTTTCACTAATCAGCTGCCAAGTTTATCAGTACTTAGTATTGTACTTAAATATGTGTTTAAAGTTTAAACTCACTTTTTTCACAGATATATTCAAGTACAGACAATCCTCGGAGCCTTCAACCAGCTTTGTGTAGCTGCTCACTTGGAGGCACTTGCTCTGGGGCTTGGAGCAGTCCCGGATTCCATACCAGGGCTTTATGTCATGGGGCTCCTTAAATCTTAAAGTTCCTAGCGGTGGAACTGCATATGGAATGCCATCGAAGGCATAAAATAGTTCATCGTATAAAGGTTTCAACACCGTGCCGCGAACTTTTCCATGAGTTGTCTGTATTACAGGTGATTTCTCTTTACTAAAATGTAGGACATAAATTGGGTATAAAAATACGGGTTATTCCATCCAAAAAACTCACTAGTCGTCCGTCATCTTCGTTCCCCAGCTGCCCGAAGCAAAGACTGAGGGCAAATTTACGAAAAACCTTTTGGGGGACCATAATCAATGGACTATATTAAGATAGCCGCGGCTTATCAAGTTCGATTAACACGGATCGCTCACGTAACTCAAACATTGTTCGCAATAAACAAAACCAAAACAATACGAAACATTTTTTGAAGGTACTGCAAGAATGCTCTATTTCTAATTTGGATTATTCAAATAAATTACAATTATATTCTGTCTCGTAAGCTTGACCTCAATAAAGTGTTTTGTTTACGAAAATAATGAAAGAACAGTGTTGACATTCAAATAACAAAGAAGAGTTCTGACCTTGAAATAATTTTCTGTTTTAAATAGCAATAATGATTTATTAAAGTATGTCAATTAGGACACCACCATTTCTGTATTAAATTATATTATGTATATAACATTTAAATTATAAAAAATATTATCTAAATATACACATGTATGTAAAAATCCACAGAAGTTGGTTTTTATTGAGTCCGCTCTTTCAAACAGTTTATAAAGCCTCTAAATTTTGTTCACGAAAAAATTTAGCTCTCGACTACTTTGAGTGGATAACGCTTTCCCAGACTTTCAGCTTCTGGAGCTCCGGCAGTTCCACCAGTTTAATTCTGTCAGAAATGTTTAGACACTCCAGAGTTGAATTGCTGTCCAAAGGCTTCCACTCTTTGGTTCGTGGAAGTTGCTCTTTGATTTGATCGCAGTTTGGATTTCCGACACTGGCAAAGTTGAATAGCATGTCGATCATGCGCTCGATGGTCAGGAACTCGGGCGTGTTTCTGTCTAGCTTCCAGGAGAACTCCCCGTACCATAGATACGAGTGGTCATCAACGTGAGCCACTCCTCGCAGCTTGTCCCCGCAGTACAGTAACCGCTGGTGATTAAAGGTGGGCGAATCGAAATCGAAGCGGTATAGGTACGTAGGCGCCTTTGAACTTTTAAGTCGCGACCTTACAACCCGAAGAATGGGAAGCCAGAAGACCTTGTAACTGGCGTACTAAAAGATAAATATTTCAATAGGAATTTCAATTATTGATAAACCACAGGGAGTTACCTCGCAATAGGCCACAAGTGCCTCTGGTGACATCGATATCTCAGTGTTTCCGAAATGTATTTCCTTCAGGCGTTGTCCCAAGTTGCGGGCCAAGGCCTGAGGCATATTTCGCTTTAAATCCAGCGGAAGCATATGTTCCGGTTCAGTTTTCAGGGTAGTAAGCAAGTACGGAGCCAACGAGACACGGGCGAACATAAGCAATCCCTCAAAGGAGGTTCCACTCATCAGCACTGGAATGCGGTTGCCCCACGCCGAGCTTAGCAGATCCTTTGGATGCTTTGGCAGGACGCAGTGTTCCGTCTTGTACGGCTCCACTTTTGGTCCGAACTGAAACACGCAGTCGTTGAGGTGGTCAGTTGGACTGAGCAGATAGGGCGTAACCAAGGACTCTCCGGGAATATTCTGCAGGTAGTCCAGTACCATGGCATCTGTCACATGCTCGGCAGTCTCCATTCCCAGATGGGAGGCCAGACGATGTGGCAAGTTCTCCAGTGGACACAGAGCCCAGGGGCAAAGTACATTGCCTGACTGCAGGATGGCCTTTTGGAAGAGTCCCTCCGCTTGAGGATTGAGCATCAAATAATGAACGGAAGCTGCTCCGGCACTCTCTCCAAAGGCGGTTATGTTTTTGGGGTCCCCGTTGAAGGCGGCGGCGTTCTGGGATATCCATTTCATGGCCAAAAGCTGATCTTTAAGTCCGGCGTTACCGGGCACTCCCACGGCTGGATCGTTGAGGCTCAGGAAGCCCAGTGGACCCACTCGATAGGAAACAGTAACTACGATCATTCTTTTCATCATAAAGTAGTCTGGGCTGTGTAGATCCTTCGTGGGGTCGCCTTTCTCAAAGCCACCTCCAAAGAAGTATACAACCATAGGTAGGGGGGTCGGCGAGTTAAGCTGAAAATATAATAATATCATTAAATTGTTCACTTTGGCACTTGGAATTCAATTTCATTAAAAAAAGTATTAACTAACATCTGTTAATTTTCACATTTCCATTCAAATTTTTAAAAATATACAAACGTATGCTTAACTCTATTATTCTACAAAAAATGCTAGACATATCGTTGAGTTTTAGTTTGATAAATTATTTTTATGGCTGGGTTAAAGCTTTGTGGCCCTCAGAGCGGCGGATAGGGTTACGATATGACTCAGTTCTTGATAAAGTTTTCTGATAAATTTTTTGTGAAATATCAAATTTTAACAGTGAACTTATGTGTATATCGACAGGATTACCTCCTTGGCGTAGACATTCAGGTACAGGCAGTCCTCAGAGCCGACTAATTTCTTGGTATATTGGTTGAATTGCAGCGGTTTGTTTCCCGGCTTGGAGCAGTCAAGGGGAGTGGTCCACGGCTTCACTGGTTGGGGTGCCTTGAACCTGAGAGGGCCCACCGGCGGCTGGGCGTACGGGATTCCCTCAAAGCTAACGTATTCGTCTCCGTAGATTCCGGTGCAGGACTGACCTTGAACCGGTCCCGTGCTGGTTTCCACCCGGTTGTCAAGGCTTTCATCGGATAAACCCTGAATCCTGTGACCTGCCAGCGCCATGTCCAACGATCAACTGTCCGCACAATCCGCGCTTTTAATCTGGAAGACCATTTAAAACACTTTTTATCGCGCAATCAAGGTGACGCCAAAACCAAATAAAACAACAAATTTTCTGAGACAGCTGATTTTAAGTTTGCTTCCGTTGCTTTTTATGTCACAGCGTCTGTGCTTTTTAAAGTTGTAGTTTTATTGTTTTTGTGCCTCTGCATTTTGGTTTGTTATTATCAATTGTGTTGTTATCGAAAGCTCAACGTCTATTTTGGCGACGATCTCTTAACAGCGGAAGCGAGGGATGCATCACAAAATGTTAAGAGCGGGTTAACTATTTGAATCATGTAGATCGCATTTATTATTTGTTAGGTGTGCAACGATATCAAATAATTTATAAATTAATTCTGGTACTGAAAGACTTCTGTATTTATCAAAGTAGTGATATTTGCAACTAGGAAAGATATTAATCTATTTTATGTTATTCAGACAGTTCATTGATGAAATATCAAAAAGCTTGCCAGTGTTGTGATGTAAAAGCTCTTGGTGGGGCGCAAGCAATTTTTCATTGCGCACTTCACTCACCATAATGCGAATGAATACTAAAAATGTGATGCACCGTCCCCAAGAAACAGATCCGGTCATACAAAAAGGTCAGAAAACCAAAAATGCTTAAACTTTTATGCAACATATCTTGAAAAGTCCGAGAATAAAAAGAGGGAAAGGTATAATGTACACAAAAAATCCCTTAAATATGTAGCCGTTAAAATTAAATACTTCTTTTCCTTTAAAATTATTTTAAAATAATATGATAAAACACCAAAAAACTAAGTTTGCTCAAATTATTTATTAAAGGACAACTCCATAGAATATAACCTTAATTGTAATATGCGATATTACAGGAAGTAATTTAATATAAAAAAAAAAATAATATGCGATATTCATATGTACATTTTCATATGTGTGTATTTGCACAAAAAATTTAATCAAATTAGTTTGGTATATATTTTCAGCCCACACTGTTTAGGTCAGAGAACAAGCATTTCACAAATAGCCGAATATATGTATGTACCAGTGTGCATAAAACTTTCACGTGCGGCAGCGGCGACGCTCCTGATTTAAGGGGCTGTGGGTCTTAGATTTCGATCAGTCGCACGGTAAACTTCGTAGGGTACAATTTGAAATAAACTTGGGATCTATTCGGAAAAAACACTCGATTTCGTTACTTCAAACTGAGAATAAATTATAAAATCACATTAGTCTAAAAACCAAACAAACAAAAAATACAAAATATGGAAGTACAATTGGGATGGCCAAAATTGATCAAGATAGGTGCCAAGTAAGTACTAAACAGGGGTCCAAAAGTACGGTGCTAAGGTCAGGATTTGGTCATCGTTGACTTCGGACCACCCTACAGGCGACTTACAGTCCTTATCGCCGGTCGCCGATTGTGTGTCTGTCTGGTAACCACTCTGATCCGTAATGTCTCACCCAGGTTGGTGGGCCACAAGCTTCAGCAGTATCGCCTGTCCACAGGTAACACGCTCGTGCTGGACACCAAGTTCGGCCAGGTGCGGGGACTCCAGAGGAAGACCGTCTACGACGGAGAACTGTACTTCGCCTTCGAGGGAATTCCTTACGCAAAACCCCCGGTAGGAGAGCTCCGGTTCCGAGCCCCCCAACCGCCGGAGCCGTGGCAGGGAATCCTCGACTGTACAACCTACCGGGCAAAGCCTTTGCAAAGGAACATAGTTCTCAGCATCGTCGAAGGCAGTGAGAATTGCCTGCACCTGAATATATACGTGAAGGACCTCGAATCGAAGAAACCCCTACCTGTGATTGTTTGGATCTATGGTGGGGGCTTCCAGAAAGGTGAAGCCTCCAGAGACATCTACAGTCCTGACTACTTCATGAAGCAGCCAGTAGTCTTCGTCTGCATCAACTACCGACTCGGTGCCTTGGGTAAGTACCTTGAAACCTTTAACATAAGATTTGATGTGTCTTTAAGTGCATTTTAATTATACCATTTGTCTCGTAACACTTCGTAGTAGCTTTTTGTTTGTTTCCTAGACGATAAGAGCTGGGAAAAACGTAGAGTGATATGATAACGTCTTAATTAGAATGTATACATTTTATAAAAAAATATGCAAACTAAGAACAGTTCCGCAACTACGCGGAAATTTAATAAATTATTTGAATGCTCAATTAATAAAGTAAGCTGATAGGAGCAGAAAAGTGCAAACACTGCAAACTATTTTGTAAGCTGTAAGCTATTATGAAATATTTTAACTATTAATCAAATATTTTATCTTACAGGCTTCCTAAGCCTAAGTGATCCTAACCTGGATGTGCCTGGTAATGCAGGACTCAAGGATCAGGTCCAAGCTCTACGCTGGATCAGCCAGAACATTGCCAACTTTAACGGCGATCCAAACAACATCACCATCATGGGGGAGAGTGCTGGAGCAGCTTCTGTCCACGTAATGATGACCACGGAGCAGACGCGTGGACTCTTTCACAAGGCTATCATGCAATCCGGATGTGCCCTCAGTGAATGGGCAGACAGTCCGGATCGCAACTGGGCCTTCCGTCTGGCCCAGCGTATGGGCTATAAGGGAAGCGAGAAAGATGCCGACGTGCTGCGTTTTCTGAGCAAAGCCCCCGCCCGACAGATTGCGAATATCGACCAGGACATCATTACACAGGACGAGATGCGGAACTTCCAGCTCTTTGCTTTTGGTCCCGTGGTAGAGCCGTATGAGAGCTCTCATTGTGTTGTACCGAAAAAACATAAAGAAATTTTGGCCAGCGCTTGGGGTAATGACATACCCATCATAATGGGCGGAAACTCGTTTGAAGGGCTGTTCTCGTATCAGCTGGTTAAGAATGACCCATGGGTCTTGAAAAACTTCCACAACATCCTGCCGAGGGAAGTGAGCGAAGCCTGCACCCAGGAGGAGCGGGATCTCCTAGTGCGGCGTCTTAAGAAGGTCTACTTCAACAACGAGCTGCAGGAATCGATGGACTTCTTCGAGGCCTTGAATATATTTTCCCATCGCCAGATCTGGCACGATATGCACCGATTGGTTCTCGCTCGCCAGACCTATGCTGCTGGGACACCCACATATTTGTACCGCTTCGACTTTGATTCCCCGTACTTCAACCAATTCCGAGGACTAGTGTGCGATGCTCATGTTCGGGGAGTATCCCATGCCGACGAATTATCCTACCAGTTCTACAATATTATTGCCTCCAAGCTGGAAAAGTCCTCGATGGAGTACAAAACCATTGAGAGGATGGTGGGCATGTGGACATCATTCGCCGCCAATGGAGATCCCAACTGTCCGGAAATTAAATCCGCCACGTGGGAACCTATCGGAGCAAAAGAAAATGGCACTGAAAAGTGTTTCAATATAAGCCATAACTTGGAAATGCGGGAACTGCCAGAGTTTGAGTCGCTGACCGTGTGGGATAGTTTTTACCCAAAAGGGTCCCTTATCTAGTCAAAAACGTAGATGCTTAATGCCCTGCAGACACCAAAGAACGAATACTTTATATACGTATTTAGGATAAGGTTTTTACATATATATGACTTGTACAAAATTTATAGTTTAAAATATAAACAACTAATAAAAAAATTTTAATATGAAAAAAAAAATAAAAAATCTTTGCTCAAGCATTTGTTTTTATATAAATAGAACATAGTGATAATTGTATTTTTTAGGTTGGCTCTAAAAAAGAACTCGGTGAAAACATTTCTATTTTTAGTGTTGCTGTTTTAATCTTAGAATGAATATTCTAAGTATGGCAAGATTTTTGCTACACATCCCCAAGTAATATATAACACTAAGGGATGTTGTTCAAGAAATATATAACACTAAGGGATTTTGTTCGAATCCTCTGTGGACTACTGTTCTCTGTGATATTTAATAAAGTTTACCCGAAATTTTATTAATATTTGTATCTATATTTTGCTATGTAAGGGTTCAACCTTTGCCTATTAATTTTTTTGAAACTCATCGTTACTAGCCCATTTAATCAACATGATTATATTAATTGCCGCTGCCACTTATCGCAAATTGTATAAAATAAGCAACGAGTCACCATGAGGTTCATGTTTAAGGTGCCTATATGGAAAGCTACCTGGCACTGACGAAATGCATCTACCTAATTGTTAAATATATGCATTTAAACCTGTTTGCTTATATAGAGTAAAGTAAAACCATCAAAAAATTATAATTGTAGTGACTTATAATTTTTTCATTTATTGCAACGTTTTGTTGTTTTCAAATTTGTTTCCCAACTGTTATTCCTCTAGCAAGTCCAGTTAAACCTTAGTTAGTTTCCTTTGGTATTATGACTAAAAATATAAGTTTGTTTAGACCAAGTCGTGTTTATCGTAAAGCCTATCCCAAAAGCGAATCTGCTTTGATTCTGGCAAGTCAATAAAGTGCAAAGTTTTCCCAATGTTAAGGCATCTTTGTGGACCCTCTGCCTCCAGGGCATCCCACGTTATCGGGGCAATTTTCGGGCAGTTGGGATTGTCATTACGGGCGAAGGACACCCACATGCCCACCATCCGCTCGATCGTTTGGTACTCTATCGAGGACTTATCTATCTTGGATGCCAGGATATGGTAAAAAAGGTAAGATACATCGTCGGCGTGGCACACTCCTCGGACATGCTTGCCGCACAACAATTGCCGGAAGTGGTTAAAATGCGGCGAGTCCATATCAAAGCGGTACAAAAATGTGGGAGTTGTAGGTGCGTATCGATGGCGTCCCAGGACAGTACGGTGAATGCCATGCCAGAAGTGTTTAATCGAAAGGATTTGCAGGCACTCATTGAACTCCATGCGTCCCCTGGTGGCGTCATCGAAGTTGTCTTTCTTGAACTGGCGCATCAGATCCTTGATTTCCGCCTGCGAACGCCTCTCCCTGATTTCAGGTGGAATGAGGGCCTCAAAGGCGCTCAGCATGTGCTCCTCGTCGTGCAATATGGCCTGGTAGGAGAACAGACCCTCAAAAGAGTTGGCGCCCAAGATCAGAGGCAAGTCATTGCCCCACGCAGCCGGTAGCATCTCCCGATATGAGCGAGGAAATACACAGTCATTGGTGAGGTAGGGTTCCACCACGGGGGTGAATGGGAAGAGCACATAGTTTCGTTGTTCCTCCTTTGAGATAAGAGCCACGCTCTGGCTGGCCATATCGGAGGCGGAGGCCTTTTGAAGAAACCGAAAAACCTCTTTCTCGTTCTCGCTGCCGTCGTAACCGAGGAGGGATGCCAGTCGGAATGCCCATAGACCTCTTGGTTCATTCGCCCATTCGCTGTACATCGACCCCGACTGCATGATGGCCTTGTGGAAGAGGCCCCTGGTCTGCTCCGTAATCATCATCGCATGGACGGAGGCAGCACCAGCACTCTCACCCATCAGGGTGATGTTTTGGGGATCCCCGTTGAATTGTGATATGTTTTGACTAATCCAGCGTAGAGCCATCACCTGGTCCTTTAGACCGGCATTCCCCGGCACATCCAGGTCGCGATCCAAGAGACTTAAGAATCCTGAAATAAAATAAAAATTAATAAGAAAATAAAGGCAGCACCTACGACTTTGAATATTATCTAAGCTCTATAGTCTAAAGTCTTTAAAAAAGATAACTAATACATTTTATAATAGAATGCGGTTAAGATGTAAGGCCCGGTTTATACATTAATAATAGATTAAGTGAAAAATGGCTTATATTACATACTTCAAAACCAGAAATGTGGAATTAATGTGCAATTTAATCATCGTGTGCGAATTGTTTCCTATTGTTATTGACATGGAATGGCATGTTAACGCAGCATGTAATTTTAGTACATATATTATTTTAGTGTCACTCATCCAAGTTTTTGAGAATATCACACTTCTATACAGCTATATAACTGACCTACGACCTAATCAGCTTTTTTAATTTTTGATCAACTGACCTAAGAACTCAGAAGAAGGTTGAGAATATGAGCAAAGTAATAACTACTAGCTGAGTATTTTAGACATACAAAAAATAAAGGTGTTTCACAATTGTTAAGTAACTGACCTAAGACCTCAGAAGTAGGTTAAGATTTTAAGACAAAATCTACTAGTAGCTAAGTGTTTTATCCCAACTCCACTACATTTATCTTTTTATGCGAGAGAGGATCAATACTGTTTAAAATTTAAAGGAGAAACCACATACCTAGGACACCCACTCTGTAGTTGAATGTGACCACAACCACGTCCTGCTTCATAAAGTAATCCGGACTGTACATGTCCCGACTAGCTTCGCCGAACTGAAAACCACCGCCATATATCCAAACGATGACGGGTAGGGGTTTATCCGATTTTAGGCGTTTTGAGTACACATTCAAGTACAGGCAATCCTCGCTGCCCTCGACTATGCTCAGAACGAAGTGCTTCTGCATAGGCTTGGCCCTGGGATAGGTGCAATCTCTCACTCCTGTCCAGGGACGTGGCAATTGAGGGGCTCGGAAACGTAGTTCCCCTACCGGCGGTTGGGCAAAAGGTATGCCCTCAAATGAGTAATACAGATCTTCATCATAGAGAGTCCGGCGACGAATACCTCGCAGCTGTCCATCCCGGGTGCAGACCACCTTTGTTTGCTTGGTGCCCAGTCGGTACTGCACTATCTTGTGTCCAATGAGTCTGTGGGGAAATAAAATTATTAGTATCACAATGATTAATTAAAATAAATGTGGGTATTACAACTTATTTGTTTATAAATAGTTGTAACATAAATACTTTAACCTTTTGTAACGAACATACTATTCTAACTATTCATAGTATAATTGTAAACAATAGTTTAAGATAAAACACTTTTTAGAAAAATTATCATTATATTTTTGTGTGAAAAATTCTGTTTACATCATATTATTAAATTTTTCTCAGTGTTTTTAAGTTGAACGAATGCGATTGAGTGAAAAATGTACGAGGTTATTAATGAGCTGTTCTTATCTTATCAAAAGGAGATGTGTACTCAAAGGCATCAATTGAGTACAGTGAAAATTGGCTCAGAGTAACGTATAAACACTACCTTAATACATTTTAAAGAACATTTTCAAAAGAAATTCAATTAAAATTAAATTGTTGGTCCATTTAACAATGTAACTGTCAAAATAAAACACGTATTAACTTTGAAATAATAGTGACATAAACAGAAAATTATTTGTGATTACTATAATCTCAAAACAAATCTAATCGATTGGAACGTACATTTAAAAATAGTTGTCACGCACTCTACTATCAGTTTCCCACAAGGGGGTGATTTTTCTGTAATAAAACCTACTTGGTGCCCATTTTGAGCAAATCGCCCACGCCCACTTTTATCTCCATGGTCAGTGGGTGGTACTTCCTCCTCCTCTATTCAAGTAGATCAAGTCAGTATATATGTAGTTTTGATGCGATGACCGATTGCGATCGCCAACACTTCCGCCGGTGGCGATCGACGAGGAACAACTGACTGGGCACTGGAACACCGAGAACGTAGAATCGGATCTATCAGTTCGAGTGGCGGTGCGGTGCAAGCAAGCCCCACAGCAGCCCCAATTCAGTTGCGGCTTTAATCACGCTCGCTGCTTATCGACGATGGGTTGGTGTTGTTGTTGGCGGTGCGAAACATATGGCCCGGGGAAGTAGAACATCGGGACTGATAAGCGGAGAGCTCTGAACACAGACCGAAGACAGCTGTTTCGCCGGTCGTGTGTAATTGCTTTTTAACGCTCCGCTCACTGCTCTCGCATCTGGCTAAAAGTCTGAATTTCATACTTATCTTTGAGATCAGTCCCAAGCAGGCTATAACTCATTAACGATCGGGGTTATAGTTCAGGCTGTGGCTACCGAACTGGACTTCGGTAATATCATAATGGGTCGTGAAAAAAAATTATTGTCCAGCATAAGGTACTTTTCAGTTATTATTTCAAATTTAAGCTACCCGCTAAACTTGCACTGTTAACTCCAGTTGATCGATATCTATTTTAAATGCAACTCTATCGAGAATCGACGACCTTGCAGTGTGGCCGCCTGAAGCCCATCTAAAAACCTTTTAATATTTTTTGTCTGTTTTTTAATGGCTTCATTCAACAGACATAGTAGTCTAAAGTTTGAGTAAACCCAGGAAAGAGATTTACAATTTTAGTCCGCTTTAATCTTAAAAATCGTATCTTTTTTATAAAAGTAAAATAGTACACTTGTGGAAAGTGAAACTTTTACAGAAATATCTGTCAGTCAGGTCAGTGCACTATAACTATAAAAAAACTAAGTGAAAGTTTTGAAAAGTCTACATAAAACAGTATATTTTAAAAACAATGTGATCGAGAATTTTTACCCTTATAATAATTCATGTGGTTAAGCTGTACCTAATAAAAAAACTGACATTCCACAGATTGTTTATCAAAGCTTTTTGTTTATTACGAGTCAAATTATTTTCCTTTGAAAATGTTTACAAAATCGTATTTGTTTGTGATTTGTTGTTTTACACATTTTTCTAGAGCTGTATTGAGGTATAACGCGGTATTAATAATGAAAGGTATAAATGTGACAAAGTCTAAGCATAAGACAGATAGCTTATAAAAACTTAGCCTAACGTTAGTGCCAACCATACTTATACATCAATAAAAAAATTTAATATATGAGCTCAAAATATCTTACAATTTTTATATAATTATTACAATTTATTTTTCCCTAAACGTCACAACGGGTCATAATTCGTAAATGAATTTCTAAAACCGAATGTTACCGAATTCAAAACGACATTGGGTAACTTTTGAGATAATTATGTTTGATTGTTGCAAACTTTTTCGACGTATTGTCAATTTTCGATCAGTGGCTAGGAGTTTGTGTGAGCAAAATATTCGGCAAAACTTTTGAGAAACTGAAAATGAAATGCTTCAACTTTTATGGGGAAAATTGCAAACAATGTGTCAAAGTTATAAAATTTTCATATGAATTTGCAAAATAGAAATACAGCTTTAGTATGCAATCAAGGGGGCCATACAAAATTATGAATTCACGCATAAACGATTTTGATTAATTTTGTTGCCAGAATTCAAAATCGAAAGGCGAGGGGCGGCACAGTCAACTAATTAAAAAATTGTCATAAATCCCAAGAGTTTAACCCATTTACAGTCGACTGGCCTGGTGAGAAATGGCCAAGAAAGGGATTGCTCGTATAACTTGAGCAGCTACTTAATTACACTTGCGCGCACTTTAATTTCCAGTTAAAAAATGCTCACCGAAAATCGTAAGCGACGGCGGAGAAATGCTAATTTTTTTCCTTTCCTTGGAACCCGAAGAAGGGTTACGCAAAGTCAAGACGAGCCGAAACATTGTAAATTATAGGCTTAAAACAGAGGCATCCGCTTCGGAGAGAGGAGAAGTCGAGTCCCACAAGCTGGTTACATGAGGGCTTATTAAATTATATTGCAGAGAGGGTCGGTTACTTAAGGGAGTGGGATGTGGTCTTAAATTTCAAGAATTCTAATCTTGATTTAAGCCTATGGGAGCAGCTCTTCCGGTATCAAGTGAATTCAATGTCAAAAGGGTTAATTGAAAGTGCCGCAGCAGCTGACAGGCCGGAATGGAAATGGGAACATTTTAGGCAGCGGAGTTTCCACGAACAGGCGCCAAGGCTCCACCTTCATGTTTTCCTTAATATGCAGTAGTCATAAAATCAAAGTCCATAAAAGGACCAACCCGCCGCAGTGCATAGCAATATTTTTCGTTGGGTCCGGCTAGAAAGTTTCATTTCTTGGGATCACATTTGTTTCCTTTTGGCCTGGCTTGCTTACTGCCCCCAAAGGGATTTGTCCTACCCTTGTGGACCTCAACTATTCTGAATTTAAAATGCAGACAAATTTTTATGCGTCAAAAAATTATGTCCTCTTCTTGGTATAATTTTAAAGTAGGAGGCGTCTTGGGAAAATGGTTTTAACTTTTCATTTTTATTGTGTCATTTTTTTTGTAAAACAAGTTTTAATTTAATGGCCACGTGCTTGCATTGATTTTTTTTATTAATGAAAACAACCATTAGTCAATTTTTTATAGGAAATGACTACAAATTATTTCCATTTTTAAATAACCCATTTATAGGCAGTTCTTTAAAAGGGCTATTTAATTAAACACGTCATAAAAAGGCAAGAAAACCCCAAAAACAATTGAAAATCTTATCAACCCTTGAACAAAAAGGGTAAATTAAGTACGAGCTACTGAAAATAAAATCAGAAAGGTTACTATAAAAACCCGAAAACGGTTTCGCATTCAGCTTTGCCATTTCTCACAACGTAATTTGGTTAAAAAGCAAAATGAGTAATTATGAAACTGTCGCCCTAGGGCCTCAGATTGGGTTAAAAGGTAGAAAAAAGTTCAGACTCACTGTTCCTGTTCAGGAGGAAAAAAGGTGCAAGCCATAAAGTCAGCCTTTTTTCTTTTTTTGCAAGATTTTTTGTTTGGGTTTTCAGAAAGAAGCTGAAGATAAAAAGAAATAAATTAACTTTTGCAGAAGGATGGCGGATTTCTTGAGATGGAAGGACTTGCCAAGTACTCGCTTTCCATCAATGGCTAAATAATGGACTGCTCGTCTTGTTATTAACTGAAGGCTTTTTGATCTTACCAACGCAAATTACAAGCTAGAATGCCCCGAGAGCCCCCCTTTCTAAGCCAGTTCGGCCAACAATGAAACATTATCCCGGCGCTGGTTCTGGTGTTATATATAACACTTTCAAATTGATAAGGACGGGGCGTGGTGGGCGTCAACTTCATCGTCATTTGCCAAGTTCCCACTGTCATTGTCTGGTGGCATTTGTAATTCACTTTGATTAAATATGCAAGGATGCTGGGCTCTCTCGCAGGACGCCAGTGGACGAGGACCGCATTCAAATGCCGCAGCAATGCAACGACAGTCGAGGGACCTCAAACTACCAGTAACCATCTAACCCACTGGCAACCTACTTCTACACAGAGAGAATCGATTGAGTTTATTTTCGTTTAAAGTGAGTTACTATTTTCATTCCTATATTTTTCTAAGATTTTTTGACGCAACTATAGTTTTAAAAGGGTTTGGCTAACAGAACTAATTTCTTTCAGTGCATCTGCCTCGCTCCTTAGTCAAGTCGCCAAGAAAGCGCAAAACAAGTTTGTGAATTTCGGCAACGGCGTGTCCTCTGACAGGATATAAAACAATCAGTGCAAGCTAGCGGAAACGGAAGTGTTGCCCTCCCTTACCCCATGCCCCGTACCACTCCCACTCCCTCTCTCGCCCATTCTGTTGTGTGAAATTGTCTAAATTGTGGGCGTGGTTCGCTCTATATCTTTTGCCATTTGTGTGTGTGAGTGGTTCTTTTGTGAAATGTAGTCCAAAGTTGTTTTGTGGCCACTGCCGCTTCAAGAGATGACTAACCAAAGAGTTGCCCATAGGAACGAGGTTCGGTGCAAAAGGGATGGTCGAAGGGGAAGTCCCTACTGCCTTTGACTATTGTCTATTTTTGTGTCTTCCTTTCTTCTTCCCCCTCTCTGTTTTTGATTGCATTCGCTGGAAATTTTCAGCTGGGTTTATTAATGGGTTAAATTGAAATTTCATGCTTTGCTGCCCTCAGATCTTGTGGGCAGGACGTGGACTAGGTCAGGTCGAAGCACATATCCTTGAAACAAATGCAAATTTATAATCATGCATGGCAGATGAAACCAACTGAGAAATTACTTTAAAGGTATAATTATATGTAAACTTTGAAACTGAACGATAATAATTTATTTAACTTTTGTTCTACTAAACTTTGGAAGTTGCGCCTTTATTTTAACTACTCTTATTTTGTTGCTAAATAAAATTATTGAAATTCTTTAAACTTCAAGTGAAAAGTAACGTAGGCGTGGCAGAATTCCTGGCACGCATAGATTCAGCGACAAACTTTTACTTTCCAGCTGTCCCATACAGAATCGTCCGAATGAAGGACCAACAATGGACCCTGAATATATTCGCCTGCTTCTCCTTTTCCGCCTCCGATGTCAGCTGTCAAGTCTTGGGCCGTTGTTTTTCTTGTTTCTGATTTCGGGGGACTCGACTGCAAATGCAAGGAAGGAAACAGCCAGGGAATGGAGACGAAACCAAACAGTTTTGTGGCATTTTCTTGCATTTGCCCGATCCTACCCGTCCCCAGTATCCTTCTCCACATTCTGGTCAACGCTCGTCGTTGTCGTCATCGTCTAGTTTTGGTGGTTTATAAATGGAATGGAATGGAATGGCTGCTGGCGGAGGTCAGCCTTTGTTCCTGTTGCTGACATCGATGTCCTTCACTGCTGATTCGGCAGCTGCGAAGCCAGCATGGTGTGGGAGTGAAATAGACTGGGGATCCTTTCTCACAATGATAAACTGCTGCGCTAGCCTGGCTTCGGTCCATGGACATTTGGGACTATTTTGCTGGCCTGTGGGCGGTTGCAGCCGAAGGGGATTCTCGCAACATGCTTAGTACATTATATCCTCTAAAAGGGTATGCCATATAATGCTGCATTCTGCCA